TCTTCAACAACGTTGGAGCTCGTCGCGCTTTTGCTAGCCGTAAGCTTTATTAAACTGTCATCGACACCAAGAAAATGGGTGGCATTTACAGACTCTCTGGCAGCAATGGCATGTGTGGAAAATGCCACTTCAAGACACATTGATGTGCGTATAGTATACGTTATCCTAAAAGAGCTCTCAGAAGCTACGAAGTCGAATCATCGAGTGGCATTTCAGTGGATTCCCAGTCACTGCAGAATAAGGGGAAATGAAATGACGTATGAGTTAGCGAAAACCGACCATAATTCTAAGCAAACATGCCTCATTCCGGTATCTCAATATGATGTAAAAAGAACACTACGAACAACAAAACGTGAATTATGCCTGTCTACTTGGTTCACAGACAAAACAAAGGAATCGATCCTATATTTTGTTGATCCTAATTTTGAATACCAATTAGACCGTGATTTCCCAAGACGTATCGACACACTCATTCATCGCCTACGACTCGGAGCTGCTTACACAAAGCACTTCCCACTTCGTATTCAGCGTGCAACATCGTTAGCATGTTTATGTGGCCACGACAACAAGGGTATCTCTCACCTCTTGCTCGACTGTCCGAAACACGACACAAACCGAAGGCGACTAAAACAGGAACTGCATAAGTTAGATCACGAGCGGTCATTTGCGCTCAATAAAATACTAGGTCCATGGCCATCTAAAACAAATGGCAAAGCAATGAAGGTGCTGCATCAGTTCTTCGAAGAAACGAAGATTTGTGAAGACTACTGAGCGGACAAAAGTTAAAAGTGAGCATGGCGTCTGCGTGTTTGTTCTGCCCATAGGAGAACTTTTGCTCTCACCCATGTAGGACTGTATATATAATGCCACGTTCCATTTCACAACTTTTTGTTATCATTCCGAAACACCACACGATTCTCGGAGCAAACCGTGCCTGCAGGCACGGTTTGCTCCGAGAATCGTATATATATATATATATCTATATATATATATATATATATATATATATATATATATATATATATATATATATATATATATATATATATATATATATATATTTGCTATTGTTTTTTATATTTTTCTTTGTACCAATCAAGTGGAAAGGGGTAGCCGTCGCTAAGTAATGGTGACGAAAACTCCTCCGTTTCTTTTCTATTTCAATAAAAAAAAGAACACCATTAGATTGCAACGAAGGAGGGGCTCAAAACTGAGAGAAATGAAATGTGTACATTTCGCCTTAAGGGTGATTGTTGTAGCATGAAACAGGCAACGAGGGAGAGAAGAATGCGCAATCGTGATTTGCACTGTTTATGCCACTAGGCCCCTGGGATGTTAGGCAAGCCAACAGTCGCACGCCAACTTTCATATCTTCTGCAGCTGTACAAGTATATTGATAGGCAAACATGAAGAATACAGAAAATCCTGTTTAGTGGAAAAAAAGGTAGATCCCCGCAGTTGGTCTAAGCCAGGTGTCGACCCAGTGTGAGCTCATTCCGGTACAGCTAAGTCACAACCTCGCCCTATCGTGCGCAAGGCAGATACCCAGACCCGGTGCCCCAAGCTCGACAAGTGCAAGCCTCTGCCTCAACCTAATCTATGTGTATTATTGTTGGTGAAGCTTGGGTTCGACTAGCGTTAACAAATCAGACCCCCAAATCACATTTGTTTATTAACAAAACACATCACTTCAAGAAAAGAACGGTACTCCAGCACAAGTGTCAATGAGTTGCCAGACTAAAATGAGTGTGCCACTATAGCTTCACAGTTACTGCAATCAGAAACAGTCAATGTGATGGAAATAAGAATGTAGAAAAGGCTGAAAAGCACGAGCTACCATCACAGACAAGCGAAGGATTCACCAAGCATTAGAAAGGGCTCAATGGATGTCCCCGTTCAACCAAAGAAAGCAGTAGCATGGGTCAAAGACAATAATTAAGAGAACTTATTACAAGACGTATAAAGTTCAGTTAGAAGACAGCATCCTGAGAAGGAACCGAGTACTCAACAGGGCAATCCCTTCCTCAGACAAACACATTGAAGTCAGTGAGCCAGAGACAGAAGAACCAGAGCAGACTGGAATTTCTACTGGACCTCGAAGAACCCTACAGCCTCCAAAGAGGCTCCAGGATTTCACAGTTGGTTGAAGGATTGACTTCAGAAAGGGATGAATGTAACGGAAATGATCCACAATTGCAGGGGCGTACCGACTCTTTCGCGAGTAGGGGGAGGGCAAACCTAACCCCCCCCCCCACACACATTCATCGTGTAGGGACCACTCATAAATGACCACGAAAAAAGTAAGAGAATAAACTATTTTAAATATGGCAGCATATTCTTTACCATTGCTTCTTTGGCATTTAAAATTGTCTCTGTGCCATAATATCGCCTGCCTCTTACATCAGGAATCTGTGAAATTTCGCGGTGTTCATTACAGCGCATGCACATTAAACAGGGCATTCACGCACTGAACAATACCTAAAACTTTTTGGGGTAGTCGGACACCATATTCTTTTAAATAACATTCAAGTAAAGTAGCCGCCGGTCACATTAGAGAGTTTTAGTAATGCGTACGTTGCGTACGTGGTGACGTTGCGTACGTAAGTATGCCAGGTTCTGCGTAGTGCGCATGCGCAGACCGCAACGCGCATGTATCGCGTTACGTACGCAACCGCTACGTACGCACGCATGCAATGCGTGCGTGCATACGTATGAGGTGATCACGCCGCTCTCGAACACGTTCGCGACAGCGCGAGACTTCGTTTTACAAAATGGCGGCATCTAAGGCAAGCACCAGCCGGCTCTACTTTTCCATCGCGTATGATTCGCGCTTCGGCGTGAAGTAAACGTGCACAACCCATTTCAAGATCGCTCGCGGTGGAGAGGCATCGTGAACAACATGAACCTTGCTCTGAGAAAAGTGTTTAGTGTGTGCGCCTTGCGCGAAAGGCTGCATCTTCTGATGGCACAGTTCCTCACAAATGACCAAGCCAGCCTCAGAAAGTGAGTACTCAAGTTTTTATACCTCACGATGTGCTTCGTATGTCGCATGCGTACTTTTATGCCTAGTTCACACTGAAACATCCGCTTTCTACAGCGACCGAAATTCCCCTGCCGCCGATACGCAGCGTCATTCACACTGGACGCACCCCGCGCCGCCGAATATGCCATGTACTACGGGGCGAACGCGGGATGGATGTGCTGCACCCGGTTGTTGTCGCGGCTCGCAAACGCTGCTACGCTATCCGGTGGTTTATACTTCGACGATTCTCGTAAGCAAGAAGCAAGAAAAGACAGTACTGCTTACTTTGCTGGCAAGTGGCTGTCTTGTAATGCACGAAGAGCAGAAAAACCACCGACGCCAGCGGCGTTGGCGGGTTCGTTTTGCTCTGCAAGACCGCAACAAGCTCGGTCACGCCAACAGCAAGCTTGGTCACCTCTTTCACGAAATACGGAGGCGAGGTAGGCACAGAGTAGTTTAAACTCCCGTTGGTTTCAACATTCAGTTACGTGCACTGCGGCATAACAAGTGAGTAGGGCTTGGCCGTCATTTTTCAAAATTCTTTGACTAGCGCTCCAATTGGTCCGCGGTGACCGATTTGGCGGCAAACGCCGCAAAAATCGGTCCGAGAGCAATCGGCGCGGAGAGGGCCCTTTCGGCAGATCTCGCCGCCGCCGAACTGAATTCGGAGCACTTTTGGCGGCCGAAATGCTCAGTGTGAACGCAGCCTTAAGAGCGAAAGCTTTACTGGCCTAGACGAGCGAGTCTCGCAGTGTATCTTCGCGTTGTGTTGAAGCGAAGAACAGATACCCTGTGACAAGCCGCGCGAGCCTACAACGAACGCGTTCGTCGGCTCGTCTGTGTATGTCACAAACCAGCGCCTCGATGAAGCGCGCGCGAAGCCGCTTTAAATGCCCACGGTCGACAATCTAGAAGAATCGGATGACGGCGCCGCGTAAGCCGTGACAACTTACGTCGACGGAAGGAACTACGACAATCTGCGCTGGAGTCTGCGTGAGTGTTTCCTGAAAGAGAAACATTTTAATACCGTCCAAGAATTGTGGACTGGATACACAGTTGAATTTAAGGACTTTAATGTTCGAGAATATTTGTAATGCATGAGATTGCATTTGTAGCGCGCGACCTGTTCGTTTAGTTCCCGTTGTGTGCACTGCTATTGCGCACGCCGGGCGGGTTTCCGAGCTCGCGCCTCAGCTGCCGCTCTGCTGTTAGATCGAAAACACAGAAGTATATAAGGATGTCTACGTATTCGCATCTTCACGTTATTCATGTATCGCATATATTGAATTCATTCTGATCCACTTCTCGATGTTGCCACGGTCTTTTCCCATTTTAACCGCTGACGGCGTTACTTCCAGGTCGGGTACCGAAAAGGAGTACGAGGAAAAAGAAAGGCTGCTACAAGAGATATGCAGCCTCGCAAGAGACTTCGGCTACAAGATCAAAAGCCGTAAAGTGCACCCCTCTGCGGGTCAAAGGGTCAGTGGGGTTGTGACCCACGACACTGCCGCTGCTACGTTGGTGCCAGCGTCACAAGTCACCTTCGGTACGTAATGACATAGATAACCGGTAGCTCTTTTGAGCAACGACATGAATACCAAAGGACATAGGACAAAGGAATACCTGGTCAGGGTGAACTGGAAATCATTGGGAGGGGCCTTTCGTCCTGATTTGGACGTATAATGAGCTGACGATAGTGATGCAAATGTCATATGTTCTGGGAAATGTTATTGTGCCGCTTATCTATAACGTCAGTCATTACACATAACGCTGTATGAGTGAGGGAAAATGTACGTATGCGAAAGGTAACTACGCACAGGGGTAGCTCCTTTGCACGCTTTTCGCTACTATCTACTGCTAGCATGATTTCGCAGCTTTCATTAAGTACTAAGAACAAATGCAATGTTAGTAAATTATTGCACTTCGCATGTGTCATTGTGCAGTATAAGTTTAATAGGGGTAATGCTTCTGAAGCAGTATGATTGAAACACAATCTGCTCTATCCCACTGCCCAGAGCCACTGAGTGCAGATGCAAGTTTTGACGACGCATCTCAAAGTGCTGCAGACCTACTGGAGAGAATTTCACAGAGCACCGACATAGCCGCAACACCTGGCCTCTCGGACGAAACCACGACCACTGCTAATAACCAGCGGCAAGAGGCATCAACAAATGCGGACGACAGGCCTGATACTGAAGGAGCTGACGAAGTTGTGCGTAGTAAGTACATGGCTGCATTTTACAACAAAATCCATTACTTTGCTCATTACTCTGTAATCATTAGCTTGTAGCAGAATAAGTAAACAAACTTGACTGGTACTCACTCAACCACTAAAGTGACATATGGCTGGGCTTATGGCAACTCATACAAGAAATCCCACTGCGCATGCAGTCTGTGATTTGACTACAAAAAATCACTCGTGCTCGCTTAGGTGAACAACAGGGAACAGACTGTGTTATTTCTTTATTGGGACTACCTTACAATCATATCATGTGCAACATATTCACGTTTCAACCACTCTGGCCAATCGACCGCTACAGCGTTTGAAATCGATGGCGCTGAGTGGCTAGACTCACAATTTAGGCAACGAACTAACATTCATATTTCTGTCAGTATCAAACTTTTCAACATCTAACAAAATTTAGTGTTCATTTTATTTGTCATTGATGCTCGTTGCTGCCTGGTTTGAAATAAATGATGCTGCAAACTAAATGCAAATAAATTTAAATTTCACAGGAAGACGCAGGGCTCAAGCAGCGACGGTTAATGCGGACTACGAATTCATCGAGAAGAGGTGGAGACACGAGAGGGCCCTGAAAGAGAAGGAGCACGCACTTGAGATGGAGCGTCTGGCCGTCGAAAAGCTTCGAATCGAGCGAAAGCAAGAACGCTCCGAGAAAAGGCACGAGCTGAAACGAGACAGAACTGAAAGAGAGCTGCAACTGAGAGAGGGGGAAAGTAAAATTCGCGAACGCCAGCTGCAAGCACAACTCAACGAAGCGAGCCAAAGAGAGCAGCTGTCGAGATTCCACAAGGCTACTCAAAACGCGATACTCAGAATTGTAGAAACGATTTGTTATAAAATGGCAAAGTAAAAAGCGTGTAAATAACAGTCGGCTGCATTCACAAAAAGACAGACTAAATAAAGTAACAGGGCTTCTGGCTGGGCCATAAATCCAGCTCGCGACCTCAAACTTCATTTTATTATGCAAACATTTCAGTATAGCAGAGAAGACACTTCGACATTATGTACCTGAATTATTACAGTTGTACAGATTTGCATTATTTTTTGTTTTATGTCAACCGTTTATACTTGAAAATAAAGGAAGGAAAGCATTTCTTTTATGAGCACGCATGCTTGGCCTGGGTTCTGAAACGTTCTCGTGGTGGTGGGCTCGTACTGTACAAAATAGTTGATTGAGGTTTATATAGGTTTCGTTGCACTTCACTTAACGACTGGCAGGGCTCAAGTTGTCTTGCAGGCAAGGTGGCTGCACATCAAAATATGTAGACACTTGGTTACCATACATACAAGCATGACAGTTTGTAAGGATAACAGCTACCCTGTACATGCGTGGTATGGCCTGAAGTAGTATCTTCTGGTGTTTTTTTAAAGTCAACAAATGCAATTTCTGAGATGACTTTTCCGAATCCCCACTCAACAGACTGCCTGACTGCACTCATGGATGAATTGAACTCTTGTTGGGCAGCTGTCAATGCTGCTCCTCCGTAGGGCTTCATAAGCAGTGGGCGGAGAGGATAGGCTGGGTCGCCGTATATAACAAATTCCTTGTCTAGTGCCAATGCTTCCAGCTTTTTATACAACTGGCTGTCTTGAAGAATGCCTGAAAACAATCAGTTCCATATAGTTAATCATCCTTCAACGCATTCAACACGGTTCAACTACAAGAACAACGAGTACCCACATACTTTGTAGGATGCTTCTGTGATTGTAATGAAGTGACTATACCTGTGTATGTGGAACTGACTAATGAACGGTCCAATCAGGTTTCCATGAACGTCACGTATAACGCTCTGACGGAACATAACTCACCAGCATCATGCCTTCGTCCTAGGTATAGTCCATCCAGCTGGCTGCCCATTAGCTACAGCCCATTTGGACACATGCAGCTACAGCCCATTTGGACACATCCAGCTACAGCCCATTTGGACACATTAAAGACTGGTATTTGAGCACATGTAGCCTCTTGTGCCCGGAAAAGTACAGGCGCTGGTCTTGCGAGGGTCGGCATAGGGGGCGCGCTGTACCATCGATAAACGCCCTGCAGTTTCTCAGAGGAGCACCTCTACGATGAACAGCTTGGGGCAAACAAATATCAACATGAGAACGGGCACTAATGCGTTCAATATCGAAGCGCTAAAGAAAGAAAATATAACTTACCTCGCTCATAGCCTCCAACTCTGAATGTTTGAGCCACGGGTGAATGTTCATATTATTCAGGAGGCAACCGAAGTTCTTTTCGATGTGGTAGAGTACTTTGTTCGATACGCTCGACACCACAGAATAGTGACGTCCAAAATATTCTTGGAGGACACACAGCCTGTTTGGATAGGCAAGTCTCCGGAGGCATATGCATAGGGATTCTGTGGCCATTACACTCTAAAAAATTTTCCACCTATAAGGGTGCATTTGCTTTGTCCCATGGGCAACACCCCTTTGGGGTGTCTAGGGACACGCTAAACAATAAGGTGTTTAGAAACACCCTGAAACCGTAGGGTGTAATGAAACGTTACACCCTACTTTAATAGGTGTTTATGAACACCCCTAAACTATGGGTGTTGGATGAAGCTACACCTATGCGAGTGAGGTGTACAGTGATTGATATGTGGGGTTTAACGTCCCAAAACCACCATGTGATTATGAGAGACGCCTTAGTGGAGGGCTCTGGAAATTTCGACCACCTGGGGTTCTTTAACGCGCACCCAAATCTGAGTACACAGGCCTACGACATTTCCACCTCCATCGAAAATGCAGCCGCCGCAGCCGAGATTCGAACCCGTGACTTGCGGGGAGATGTACAGTGAAAACCCCCTTGAAACGATGGCATTTCATGGATGAGCATACTTGATCAAATGAAGCGCAATTAACGGGCAACAAAAGCAGAGACACAAGAGGTGACGCTTAGACTTGTGTGTTGAGGAGAGCCGTTCACAGCACTTCATTCCATCAAATATGCATCACCAACTGGCCCAAGCCTCAATTGTTCTCAGGGAGAAGCATATATGAACCTTCTCTGCGGCTGACAGGGAAGAAGGAAGATATTGGTGTCACCCACTGCACTTATACCTGCATGCATGCAGCTGATAAAATAAGGTGCCATGGTCTTGAATGAGCCGCATGAGAACAGTGTATATATGTGTACGTAGACTGAGCCGTAAACGACAAAGACGCGGAAGGCACTTATGCGCTCTCGCACGCACGCACGCACACACACACACACACACACACACACACACACACACACACACACACACACACACACACACACGCACGCACACACACACACACACACACACACACACACACACACACACACACACACACACACACACACCACATCACAGTAGTGCAAGCAGTAACCTGTAGCGTAACGTCCAACCGAACATAACGCCGAAGCAAAAAACAATTAAGCCCATATGGTAACATCTGCCTTTATTATGGAAAAACTGCAAATCTGACAAACAGGACTTTGATGGCATTCTGCAAAATTTTGAAATATGTCACGGGACCAAGTTTCTTTCTCTCTATACTAAAAATTCATTGTTTTGAATACAATAAATCTCCACAACTTTCAAAACATTTGCGCTAGTCGGGCAAACGACTCAGACGTATGGCGTTTGATTGACACCTATACAATAGAAGAAAAAAAAATACGTAGAAAGTGTAAGCGAGTTTTAGAGCCACATTTACAACCTATTACATCTCGCAGTATAAATTTCGACATTAAAAAAAAATATTCAACAAGGTAGTGTAATTGGGGTTGTATTAATGTAATGTCTGTGTTGGTATACTTCTAACTGCAAAACCACTCGTCACTGCTGCTTGCACAATCATCTTCCGCTGCTGAGATGACTGGTGCCTTCGAGAGAAGTGGGCCGAAGCTGTTCTTTCTAAACAGGAAATTGAATCCCGGAAACCTAAAATAAATACACAAGGAACAATGACTGAAATTTCACAAAGAGTGCAACATACAGTGTGCACCATGCGTAACTAATTGCTTTCTAATGTGTAAGTATAAATTGAGTGCATAGCAAGCATATTCTGTGGCATCGGGCTCCACTGCAGTGAGCAATGCTAGAAAAGGTGCGCTGAGCAATAAACGCCATAAAAAGCGCGCTATGGCAGAATAATTATACCTTTCATGCCGTACATATGAACCTTACTTTACCCTTTCAGCTTGCTCGCGCAGACAACTAAAAAGGTGCTGCTCCAAGTTGATAATGTTCCAATAGCTGCATGCAACGACCAACCTAAGCGAATGTCAAAATCTGTGCTTAAGTATGCATCAACACAGTTGCATGTGTATTTCTGCAGATATACCATGGTATTCATTCGATTAGTTAATTAAAAGAAATACAGTATGACGCGCAACAACATATACATATTTTATCTGTATTGCAAAAAAAGCACAATGCCACTGAGCATACATGACGTTATGCGCATTGAGAAGGTATTCAGTGCAAATAAATTGTAAAATTAAGTACTGTACAGTTACGTATTAAAATGCGAAAGATACTAGTGTTCTTGGACTGGCTCACATTGACATGATTATATAATGAAAGAATTGGCTATTGGGTCATTAATCATCAGACGTCCCAGCCATTTTGGTGACCACCGCAAATGTATTCGAAAAAAATCGCAGTGATTTTACTGCATTAAAAAGAGTAACTTCTAGAATATTTCGCTGACAAATAATTTATTGGTCACGTGGCTGCCTCCTGAACTTCCTGGAATCTCGTCTGTATGTTTGTGAGAAAAATTATTTCATAAGTATCTCTTCTTCCATGCAAAATTTGGTCTACAATTTAAGTGAAGGGCTTGGGTAAAGTGTCTGAAGCTCAGTAATATTATTACAATTTTTCGACCACATACACCTCAAATAATTTAGCCGAAGTGTGTTATATCTGCGTATTTCTATATCAATACTGCACTTTGAATGAATATCTGAGGAGTGAATGCTTAATTCACATAAGGTGGAGGAAAAAATATTTTAGACCTCTCAAGCTGTCAAACTCTACGAGAAGAAATCGCAAATTTCACAAAATAATTGTTTTGTCTATAATGAGACGCTACTTGCACCATGCGGAGATTGAATTAAAATAGACTTTGTACCTAAATCGAAGCAAATAAACAGTTCTTTTCTTGTGCCAAATTTTGTCACAGCAACTTATGTTTTGAGAAAAAGATCATAGCATATCCACGGAATGAATAATGATGAGTGGGGCGTAGCGTTCGTCCGTCCGGACGCACAAACAGATCGACAGACAGTCTGACGCCAGTATGGACGAGAGGAAAGACGGATGGACTCACGGACAAATCGACACACGGTGGCCTGTACGGATGGATGCACAGACGAACGGACGAAAACACAAATGTACGGATGAACGATTCGCCCCACGAATCATCATTTTGTCCGTGTATATGCTGTGAAAACAACTAACGCTATTTATTGTGCAACTCATCAAGTGGCTACATAATACTAGTACGACTACAGAAGACGGAATGACCCACGGCCTCAAAAGCTTTGCCCCTAAATATTTTTGAAGTTTCAAGTTCCCCATTCGCCATTTGGTCATACAGCAGCCGACGCCTCAAAGTTCCCCATTGCCGTTGATGGGAAAATTAAAAAAATGTATTTTATTCCTTGAAATAAAAATTGTAATGATAAAACTTATCACATACAAAGAACTGTTTATTAGCTTTCAATTTAGGTAAAAGGTGATTTTTAATTGGACCAACACATGGCGCAAATTGCGTCTCAATACGGACGAAAATGAAAATTCTGTAAAATGAGGGATCTTTTCTCGTAGAGGTTAACAGCTTAACATGTCTAAATATAATTTTTCATCAAAATATATTTTCTGTGAAGTAAGTAGTCACAGCTCAGATATTCATACAAAGTGCAGTATAGCC